GTATCTCAGTGTTTGTTTTTCTTTTTGTTAATTGCGTAGTTCTGTTTAAATTTTCTCGCTTTTGTAACTATGGTCAAGTTTGTGTACTATACAAATTATAAAAGGTTTTTAATAATTCATTTGCGAGTAGTTATCAGGTAAAGGTTAATTAATTCAAGAAAATGAGGAGAAAATGCACATCAGGTGATGATAACAAGGGCGCAAGTGCTTCGAAAAATTGCGCGTTTCATATTGGAAAAGTGGCGCCTTCCGTTGTGATTGGCGATTTATTTGAAATTCAATAAAGAAGAAGATTTTAGGGTGGAAGTTGTATTTCCTTAAATACGGGAGGCAACGAGAAAACGAGGCCGCTGAATTTCGTAACGGTTTCCGGATGCTGTACGACCAGATCATTTGGATTATTAAGAACAAACTATAAATGATTTTAAGGTTCCTTAGTTTATTTGTCACCCGCCTGCGTGAGGGGTAATATGTCCAAATAAGCTTTGCAAGCTTTTCTTTCTTTCAGGGATGTTGTTTTATTTTTTTCGATATAAATGTTAATGTCATTGTGTTTATTCAAATCCATCGGGCGACCCGCATAGAGTCTTCGTGTCAGATATTTTCTATTAGTATCCAAGATCTCCGTTAATTATGAACGGGATTCCATGAAATTCAAAATGAGCATAGCTTTACCCCTATAATACACAATGTTAAGCTGTAGCCACACCTAGGAGCAACATATTTATTCCAAGCACTCTCTCAGAAGATTACTATTGCAAAAGGAAAACCAGTTATTGGCTTACCTATTCACACGGTTTGCTATTTCATCTCCATCACCGTCTTTTTCCTCAACCCCTTGCTTGTTATTTTTGGACTTCGCAAACCATAAAACTAAGCTGTGTCTCGAGTAGCCTAGCCGATAACTATCTACCAATCTATATATATATAGCCTCTTTGACCCTGAACAGTAGTACCTCCCCGGTATGCATTTAAATATTATTAGAATAATTGCTAACATGTAAACGACTATCAAGTTGTAAGGCAGATTTCTCTTACAAGATGCCTGATGAATCTACATGCCAATTGGTTAACAAAAAAAGTATCAGATCATATTTCGACCACTCCTTTCAGTATGTACTTATTATGTACCTCAGGTGGGTGGCCTCTGTGAATAATGAATATTTTCATCCTGACTTTGGCAAAAGTGTCCACTCAATTCGAAAAATGAGACAGGCGCCCTTAATTAAATTGACTAGGGATTTTTCTTAGTGGTGAAATGTAAAATTCTCCATTTTCGGTATTAGCACCCACGTAATTTAAACATTCACATTGTTCGATGACACCTTGGAACATTTTCGATTTTACTTTCATTTCTAGGTGTAGGCTCGCCGAAATAAAACGATTGATAATGATTAATGATTTTATTTTAATTTCGCTAATGATCCGCACTCTTCGCCGATTATTCACAGGCAATCACGAAACGTTAATCAAATTGAGCGTGCGGTTAATTACACTTCTAATGCCATTTTTACGGCGAACCTACTAATGAAATTGCCGCGGGCGGCTTATTAATGATAAGAAAAAAACTGAATCAATTGTTGTGTTTTGTTGGATTAGTTATGAATTGTGCCGTGGGTGAATTCACCTTACTTTCACACGTTCCAAATAGCGGTGAAATAATCACTTTATTTAATAACAATTTTATTTCCTGAACCAACTGCAATTATACGCGTTCCAATATTTATATTAATTTGTATGCAACTTCTCTCATGGATGACCGTACTTTCGCATTTTTTCTTAAAATTAAGATCTAGCAGGCCCTCACTTTCGCGTTGCATTTCTAAACGGTACAGTTCGCCACTCAGTAAGCTGTCTGTCTGTCCGATAACTCGACAATAGATCGAGGTTTTCGAATTCTGTTTTTCGCAAGAGACAAGTGATAGAAAAGTGTGAAAAGTGGCTTTCAGATGAAATATGGAAACCCAATCATCATTTCAGGATCAAAGAAAGAATTTGTTTTTAGTCCAAAGAGGGTTGGTGGCCAAATTCTGCAAGATAATTGGTATTCCACCGACAGGAAGAAAGGCGTCGCATTGTGGAGGCAGCTGGAAAAATAATCTTGGAGGACATCCTCTCCAGAGTATTCAAACCAGTGGAGTATACTCCGGTGGATAACTTCTTGGGCGATGCGCGTGCTTCTTCGACTTCATGTTTAGATTTTTACCAACAAACAAGGATTCTTGGACTCTTGGAAAAAAATGACCCAAATCATTTCTATCCTCCATCATGATTGATGTTTCCGTGCTTTTCTAGAAAAAGTTTGGTTCTAAACTTCTTCTTCATTTCCTAACTTCAATGGGCTTTCCACCCTCGACTACCTTCACAAGATCAGTATCCATTAAAAGTGCTAAACTCCCTTACACTGTTACCGGATGAAACCGAAACTGATCACTCAACTC